AGTTGTAACCTTCACACGTATTGAAGTTCAGGTGGAGCTCTACAGAGTTTGGAGTTATCCAGCTGCGTCTGGCTTAGGTCTGGCTGCTGTGCTCGGCTCCTTCCTGCTGCAGACCTGGGCTAGGACTGGGTCGGACCTGGGCTAGGACTGGGTCTGGGGGCTCCCGGAACTCGGCAGAAAATCCTACTCCGATACCTTTTTTTTTTTTTTCTTGCTAAGAGTTAATTCATTTTGTCTAGGCCCAAATGGATATGAAGAGTCAGCAAAACTAAAAAAATCAAATTCCCAGTGCAGCAAATTTTAAGAGGAGTTTTTATTTGCAAGATATGAAACAATATTATAATGTTGTAGTAATTAAAATGAGGTCGACAGAGAAATAATGGAACAATATAAAAATGGAAAAATGATTAAAATTATGCATGATCAGTTTTAAGCAGATGAATTTGTCTATATTCTTTCATTTTTGAATGAAATTGAGATTTTACATGTCTTAAGCTGATAATGGATAAATCTCACAATAATTAATGAAAAAGCATATTGTGTAGGTTTACATGCAATAACTTTTCTATAAATTCAAAAACATGCCAAACTAATTATAAAGATAATAAGGAAATAATAAACACCAAAATTGGAAATAAAACTACTGCTGGAGGTTGGAAGAGTGATAAAATCAGGAAGAGCTACAAGAAGACTTTAAGAGACTGGTTTATTTCTTAAGCTGTGTAGCGGGCAATTAGGTGTTCATTGTTTATATTTATAAATACATTTATGTGGAAATATTGTATAAAGATAAAATTTGAGTATATTGTATTAAAGTCTTAATTTTTTCTACAGGTTTGGAAAGATGCTGCCACCCAAATATTTTACTCCCTTTCAGTGGCCTGGGGTGGATTAGTTGCACTGTCATCATACAATAAGTTTCAAAACAACTGTTTCTCTGATGCGATTGTTGTTTGTTTGACAAATTGCCTCACTAGCGTGTTTGCAGGATTCGCCATTTTTTCTATATTAGGACACATGGCACATATATCCGGGCAAGAGGTCTCTCATGTTGTAAAATCAGGTATACAGAATTTTATTTTCTCAACTTTAATTAACATTAAGTTTTGTCAACTTTAATTTTATGAATTTACTTAATTAATGTAGCTCATTTATGAAATTCTTATATAGTGTATAGTAATTCATACTCATGATTTAAGATATGGCATCTTCATTCTCATTTCATCTTACATAGTTTGTTTTTAATAATGTAATTATTCTTAGATGGCCTTGGCAAACAAGGGTATATTGGGGTATAATTGGTTAATGAGCCACAAGATTTTTAAAAATAATTTTATTGAGAAACAAATAGCAATGAGACAATTTCAAAAGTGGTTACTTGCACAGTTTCAATAATTAATACATTGCATATTGTTGTCTTAGTGTTTATTCATTGTACAAGATGCAGACATGATAACCTGTCCACAAACACAAGTAGAACAAATCTCTCTATTCATTGAATTAAGAGAATGCAGCTGTATATCTATCCTAACTATTTTGAGTATACAGATACAAAATGGTCAGTTATCCCCCTTTTTTGGTTAGTTTTGTCAGAGATGGTCATTCCTTTGTCATTTAAATATTGTAGGTGCATGAATTCAGCAAAATATTCCAATATAGCCCAGTTGTCCATAATAGTAATGGATTTTCTGTAAGACTGTAAGCCACAATATTTTTAAAATTTTATTTAATTTTTAATATGTACCATTTACTGCATATGTACAAGCTGTGATATTATGTTAAGCTTGTCATGCACTACAAGATAGATAATGCATACAGAAAACAAATTTCCTTATGTACATTTGCAACATTGAATGTAAATTTTATTCATTTACTTAAATTTCAATATTAACTTATCATTGTATTGTTATTAGCACATGTTTGCAGTCTTATACAAGAAATTTAAAATATGGATCTGAATTTTTAATCATATTAAACTAATATGGAGACTCCAGAGACTTTGACTGTCCAACTTTCAGAGAATCTGATTAATGAGCATCCTAACTTTAATACTATGTCTTAAAGAAGGACAAGTTTGAATCATTTGTACAAAAATGGATGCACTTTGAAATCAAAATGTTAAGTGAAATAAATCAGACACATATGTTGTGATTTCTCTTATATGGGAAGCACATATATAAAGAGCAAAATAAAAGATAGATAATAGGAAATAAAGAGAATGATCTTTTCCTAAAAGGGAGGTGTACAAGAGAGGGAGGTATAGAGTTAGTATAAGAGGGGAAGGGCATGAAAAAAGAATTAATAGTGTTATGTACATTTAGCAACGTCCTCCAATGAACATAATAATTATACACAACAAATATCTACTAGTAAAGATCAAACTTGAATGAAAAAGTAAATAAAATGAACTTTAAACATGTTTACTTATCTGGCTAAAATTCCCAGAGGAAGAACTGTAAGATTCTTCAAAAGTAGGGATTCCTTATTCAAATTTTATTATGGCTAGTATCATTGATAGAAATATTAAGGAATGCTAACAGAATGTCAAGATCAGGAGAAACCTTGGAGATTTTCTAATTTTCAATTCCTCCTAGAAGATCGATGTCCAGAAATATTACCTATGTTATACATGAGCCAGAATATTTAGGAAGTGATAGAGTTTAGACTAGAAGCTTACTTTTAGAAATCATAGGCTAGTTCTCTGAAAAGTTAGAAAATATTAAAATACTTAAAACTGAAGAGCTCATAAGAGGTAGAATTTTAAAAAAATTCTAATAGTTACAGCAAATAGAAAAGAAGGCTAAATATATTTTTTTCTCATGTGCAAGTTTTGCAGGCATCCATAAACCATTCAAATGACAATACTGAATGATTCTGAAAAGAAAAATTTGAAAAGAAAGATGAAGGTATCAGTCTTTCCTGATAGTGTGGTTCATTTAGAACTTCTAGCCTAAGATTAAGTGACCTGATTTAGGTTTTTAGTGTTTAAGGTAGCTGTTCTTCACCAATATCAAAAAAGCCAAAATTGGTTAGACATACCTTAAAATAGTTAAATTTCTTATGTGAGAAATGTTTCACATATAAAATTTATCTCACTAGCTTAATTCATGACATATGTTTACATTATCATATCATATCATATAGAAAACAACCAAGTTAAATATTTTAAAAAGCAAAAGAGAGATAATTATTAAGAATTGTATGTCATGGATTATGTTTGAAAAAAAGATGAGATTTTTGTACTATTTTCATTTTCAAAAGGATAAACTTGAATCATTTGTAGGAAAATGGATGCATCTTGAGACAATAATGCTCAGGGAATAAAGTAAAAACACAAGCTTAAATATTGCATGGATGCTCTTGTAGGAGAGCCCCCAAACATAAATACGTTAAATCTAAAAATAAATGATAAGTGATAGGAAACAGAGAGATAGACATTTTGCAAAAGGGAAGGGCACAGAGAGAAGGAAGGAGGAGACAGTGGAGGGAAGGGGAGAGAACGAATAAATAATTAAGATGAGCCTTGTGCATGTACAGCTCACTGTGGTGAGTGTAATCATTATGTGCTGAAAACATGTGCTAATAAAAATTTTGAAAATACAGCAATGAAGATAAAAAATGTGAATTTTCTTGGCAACTAACCTAAAATACTGCCTTTTTAGGCTTTGATTTGGTATTCATTGCCTATCCAGAAGCTCTAGCCCGAATCCCAGGAGCTCCATTTTGGTCCATATTATTTTTCTTTATGCTTGTGACTTTGGGTCTTGATTCTCAATTTGCATCTATTGGTAAGTAATATGTACTTTCGATGTGAGCAAAACCCTCATATTTTATTCATGTATACTTGAATACCTTTTTCTAACTTCAATTACATGCTATGGCTGTTACTCTTAGAATGATCTTTCTGTATTTGTTTTTAATTTCTAAAGAAACACATATTATTACATTTGTTCCAATATATTTAGAAAATAAATTGTCATAGGTGAATTTGAAATCTCTTAAGTCTCCTTTATTTCTTCACCAGTGTAATTCATATGTGTTCCTAGAGTCAACTACCATTGTGGATTATGTTTTGTTCAGTACATGTTTGCAGATACTATTTATGTACCCATGAATAACATAAAATTTAAATGTTTTATATTTAAGTGAATATGAAATGTGAAGTTACATAGCATGCAAATTACTCTGACAGTTATTTTACATGCCTTATTAATCCATGTGGATCCATAACCATGCAAATCAATTTCATTAACTATCTGGTGCCATATTGATGAGTATTTGTATTCTTTTTTGTTAATTAAACACATTGCTGCAATGACTGTCATATTTATGACTCTACTTACACATGAGAGTTTTAGCTAAGATATAAAACTAGAAAGTTCTGAAGCAATTTCTATCATATTATTCTCTTACACAAAAGAATACTGTAATGGTTTATTCTGTTTATATGGTGAAGTCCACATTCTTCTGGTTGACTTTCTTTCTTTTTTTTTTTTAAAGTTAAGTGAATTTTATTTTAAAGAAATTTCATGTTGATTTAATTAGGGCCATTTTAATGAGGCTGTCTTCAGAGGAGGCCTTTTCAAAAGAACTCAAGCTTACTTCAGCCATCCCATCTGCCCTGCCACAATTCTTCTATCTCCACTTGAATTATGGACAGTGACAACTGTGGTCTTATATCCAATTTCGTCCAGCAATACATTTTTGGAGCATTTATGGTAGATGGATCTGCCTTAGTCTGACACCTTCTCTAAACATGCATTAAGTTCATTCATCTCCTAATTTATTCATAGTAGTACAGGCCGCTAGGATATGCAATTAATTATCTTTCAACTCCAGACCCATGTTCAAACAGAATCCTTCTTTGACATTCACGTTTATCTCCTTTTCAGATCTTTCTGCCCTCTGTCCGTTATTTATGGCCTTGGAAACTCTGTTTGTAGACAAAGCAGCTTCTTTATTCTTCTCTCTTGGTAAACACACATTCATCTTGCTTGGAAATTCAGAACTTATAATGAAACAACTCTCCTCTACTAATTTGATATCACATGCATCATGTTCAAGATGTGTTGTCTCATCTTCTGCTCCTGACTCTTCAATAGGAGAAATGGAGCCATCATCATCCAAGTATTTGTATCTACGACTATCAAGGTCATCTTTTTCTAAATCCTCACCAACATTCATTTGTTTCAATGATTCCTTAAGGTGGTATTCGTACTTCAGTTTTTCAATATAGTTAAAAAATCCTCTTGCAACAGCTTGCTCAAAACTTAAAATCTTCCTCCAAGGTAATGGTTTCCTTCCATCCTCAGATTGTAAAATTGGAAATGTAGGTCCTTTTTCTTTGATTTGTTTTTTACTATGTTTGATCTTCTAGTGTTTTTCTTTCCTTTTGGTCTTCCTCTTGGTGTTAATTTTGGCTTATATTTCCTCTTCTTACGTTTCTTCTTTTTCTTGAATCTTTCAAAAATAGCCTTCAAAGTCAATGGTCTTGGTTCTATGGATGAGTCACTGGATGAATCTGTTTGAATATTCTCAGGTATATGAACCAGTTTCCTCACAGGTTTTCTTTGAGTCCATTTAGGTAAGGAAGGTGCACATTGTGTTTTAAATAAGCTGCTACCCGATGAAGAGTTATCACTTTGATTTTCAATTTCTACAGCTGCATCAGATGTCATATAGTTGACAGGATCCATTCCTGATTTTTCCATCACTTTTTCTTGGTTTTAAAGAATTTCTTCTTCTATTGCGCCACTGGAAAGCTGGTTGACTTTCAAGGCCCTGTGAAAAACCCTCAAATGTATATCTTAATCCTTTCATTTATAGGTCCTTCTACTGTGAGACAGTTCCCTATTTAATGATTACATTTACTTCTTAAACATAGAATGTCTTTCATCTCTATGTGCCTTATTTTTGTTTTATTTGGTTATTTTCTATATGCATCTGATTAAAACAATCACCTGATTTAAATCCTATGAAAATTTTTCCTTCCCTATAACTCTTCTTCAAACTACTTCACCCCCCAAGTCTGGTTACTTTTTTTTTTTTGTGGAACTGGGGATTGAACTCAGGCCCTTGTGCTTGCCAGGCAAGCACTTATTCTACTGTGCTATCTCCCTGGCCCATCAAGTCTGGTTACTTTATAGTTGCTATTATTAAAAAAAAAAAAAAAAACCTTTATAAAACAGACTTAAAAACAAATATGGCTGCTTCTGATTTTTCATTAAAATCAACAAGTGTTCATTGTTAAGAGAAAGGACCATATGGATTATGTTAAATCAGTATATTTTCTCTATATACTTGTAATAAAAGTTTAGATTGTTTGCAATTTGTGATAGGAGTTGAAAGTTGAATTCTGTGATTAACTTTATGGAGGTGACATATAATATGCCACATTTTTTCCTCCAAAGAAACAATTACAACAACAATCCAAGATTTATTTCCCAAGTTAATGAAGAAAATGAGGGCTCCTGTAACTTTGGGATGCTGTTTAGTTTTGTTTCTCCTTGGCCTCGTCTGTGTCACAAAGGTATATTGCAGCTTTTTCTTTTCATAGATAAATGTTAGTTATAAAAATACTTCAGAATCTAAAAAGACAAAATAATATTAATGAAACGTACATGTTCTACTTGGATCAAGCTTTTCCAAGTTTTACCTAACTTTTCTATGTAACTTTGCTAGTAAGAATATTGTGTAGAATAAGATGCACAGTAATAACAACATTCCCAAACATAACAGGATCAGAGACTTTAAACATAGATTTCTTGGAAGTTACCACAAAATACACAGAAAGGACAAATGCTTTTGTAAACCAACTTTTCTAAGTGACTGTCTACAGTGTAAGATGTTTGATATATAAAATACTGTTTTATATTTTAACAGAAATAAAACTAGGGTAAATGTGTTAAATTCAAATTAATTAGTTCTAATTATTAATTTCATCAAACATAAAAATAATTAAAGTATTTTCTGAAATAATCTTTTTTTGTTGTTGTTAGAGTGGAATTTATTGGGTTCGTGTTATTGACCACTTCTGTGCTGGATGGGGAATTTTGCTCGCAGCTATCCTGGAAATAATAGGAATCATCTGGATTTATGGTAAATCATGATTAGAGAATGACTTAAAGGTTTTACTAAAATTGTTTATTTTTATTACTTTATATTTATGTAACTGTATTATTTATATAATTGTTTGATTGAATTGCAATTATAATTGCAATTACACTATCATAATGTTAAGAGTATAATATATTTTTAAAAATGAAGAAAATTAATTGTAGATATAAGCTTCTTTATAGTTGACAGTGTCTTTAGATATAGAAAGAAAATTTACATAATTATTATTTGAGGAAATGGTGAACATTACCACTACTATTGTTTTCTTTAGGAGGGAACAGATTCATTCAAGATATAGAAATGATGATTGGAACAAAGAACTGGATATTCTGGTTATGGTGGAGAGTTTGCTGGTTTGCCATTACACCAGTCCTGTTGATTGTAAGTTAAAAATACATCATTACCTTAGAAAATAATCTATTTAAATGTTTCTGAAATAGATTTTGAGAATAATTGACATTGAAAACAATAAGAAAAAGTAAGCTTGTAAAGGAATGATTTTAGGTTTTGCAGTGTTTGTGGCTATTGCCAAAGTGCCTAAATTAAAATGCCTTTGCAATATTAAGTTTCAGGTGGTGGGTGAGCCTCTTATAGACTTAAAAGTAGCAAATAAGTTAAAATTTATTAATAGGAAAAATAAAAATGAGTCTTTTCAATCTCTAAAACATATACTGAAATCATTGATCATGAAGATCTTAATCTGTTTTCCTTTCCAGAAAATACAAACACACACAAAACCAAGACAACACCTTTAGTGAGTTCCTTTTAAATATTGTGATTGTTAATAGACAATACATTCTTCTATTTATCATGGATGATTTTAGTGTTTGAAATTACAAGAAACTCACAGATGTCAATAGAGTCAATAGTTTTATGTTAATAAATTCAACAATTGGCAATATTTAGAATCTGAAGAAAATGAATGATGACTTATTGAAGAGACATGAAGTATTCAGATAACAGTTCAAGATAGGAAAGAGTTAAATCCTAATCCAACACTTCATGGGATGGAAAAGTGCTGTGGACTAGAATTTGTGGTGGGGTTGTGGTGGTGGCAAAATATCATATATATGTTTGGCCTCATTCCCTTCATGTTTCAAAGCTTTTCCAAAAAGAGAATATTAAGTAACTTTATTTAGAATTTACTTCACATCAGAAGATTTTGACTGTTTTTATGAGGTGTTAGTTTTTATGTATGCTTTAGAATTACAACATCTGTTTAAAGTAGTGCATAGTTTTGCCCTGGATATGATGGATTAAAATATTTAGATTTTCTATATTCTCACTAAATGATTCCATGAATGCCACCAAATGTCATTTTCCTTATTTTACAATTATTTTTTTGGTACTGGGGATTGAACTCAGGATCTTGTGTTTGCCAGGTAGGTCCTTAAGCCACTGAGCTATCTCCCCAGCCCTTACAAATTTATATAATAAGCCCCTTATCAACCTACAGGATCCCACTAGACTTCTTTTCTTTTTTTTTTTTT